ATTGTTATTAATATTTTTATTGGGAGTTGTCTGTGGCGGATAGGAGGGAGGGGGGGGGGGGGGAGAATTCAATTTGAATAACCTTCGGGTTTTTCGTCACGGAATGATCGAGATGTCATGTGCAAACCCTGTATCGAAGTTTCAACCACCACCATCCTTGATCCCAGCCCTAATCTCTTATGAAGAGTAGGCCTACGGTGGGTTTTTTGTTTACCAAAAGTTTTCATTATAATAGGTTGGGAACTCTTCTACACATTAGGCCTCCATTGGCATCCTATTCCAGGGATGAAGACTTTTCCACCATGACCTTGCCTGTGTCTATAGAACATGACAAGGGAGGGCCGCACTGGCGTACTGATGGGTTGGGTTGGGAAGGGGGTGGGGCTTTTGGGCGTGCCCCCCCCCCCCCAAATAAACTTCAAACGTGGTATATTTAACTCGATACCAATTTACAAATTTTGCTGAAATGACATGATTTTCCGGGATATTTTGTTACTGTTTTGTAAATTATACTTTTTTTTATCTGTTTGCTGGAAAATGACTAATTCTTAAGTTTGCAGTCAGGCCAAAATGTTCTTATTCAGAAGCCTACATGCAAGGGCCTTCAGGATTGCGGGGCTAGAAAAGAAAAGAGAAGAAAAACGAAAGAAGATAAAAGAAAGAGAGAGAGAGAGAAGAGAGAAAAGAGAAGAAGAGAGAAGAAAGTAAGAAAGACAAGGCACGACGAGGGGGGGGGGGGTATGTGCCTGTGAAATGCGCGCGCTGGAGGGGGGGGGGGGGTGAGCCCAGAATGAGCGCAACCCAGGGTGAAGGCTATTTTTATATATGTTTTAGTCTCTTGCGTTTGTCATACTTCATTGTTATTAATATTTTTATTGGGAGTTGTCTGTGGCGGATAGGAGGGGGGGGGGGGGGAATTCAATTTGAATAACCTTTGGGTTTTTCGTCACGGAATGATCGAGATATCATGTGCAAACCCTGTATCGAAGGTTTCAACCACCACCATCCTTGATTCCAGCCCTAATCTCTTATGAAGAGTAGGCCTACAGTGGGTTTTTGTTTACCATAAGTTTTCATTATAACGTTTATAGGTTGGGAACTCTTCTACACATTAGGCCTCCATTGGCATCCTATTCCAGGGATGAAGACTTTTCCACCATGACCTGGCCTGTGTCTATAGAACATGACAAGGGAGGGCCGCACTGGCGTACTGATGGACGATCTTCAGATTGATGTTACGGTTGGGAAGGGGGGGGTGGGCTCTGGGCGTGCCCCCCAATAAACTTCAAACGTGGTATATTTCTAACTCGATACCAATGATTTACAAATTTTGCTGAAATGACATGATTTTCCCGGATATTTTGTTACTGTTTTGTAAATTATACTTTTTTTTATCTGTTTGCTGGAAAATGACTAATTCTTAAGTTTGCAGTCAGGCCAAAATGTTCTTATTCAGAAGCCTACATGCAAGGGCCTTCAGGATTGCGGGGCTAGGGGGCTCGAGCCACCCCTCACTAAACAAAAAAGTATGTGTAAGATATTAAAATAGAAAGAAAAGAAGAAAGAAAAATAGTGACCTGCCAGTTCCACAAAATTAATGAGGTATCAAAATATGCCCATCTGACCGTAAGTAAATAGTTAAAACCCCTGAGCTTGCGAGGGCTCCACCCTCTCAACCCCATCAGAGGGCCTAAGTCGGTCCCCTGAAAAAGCTCATCTGACCATTATTAAATGCCTAAACCCCTGAGCTTCATGGGGCTCAGTCCCTTGGACCCCACGCTAATTAGTGACCTGCTAGTATGACAATAAGGTATCAAAATATGCTCATCTGACCGTAATTAAATTCCTAAAACTCCTGAGCTTCCGAGGGTTCCGCCCCTTGACCCCCCCCCCCCCCCCGCTGGGGCTTTCCCCCTGTGCCCCACGCCAATTTACGCTTCACTCGCTTCGCTCGCTACGCTCTACCTGACCGTAAATACTTTAGCCCCTCCCCCACCAACTTTGAAAACGTTCTGCGGGGCCTGCATGTAACAGTGGTGGTGGTGCGGATTTGTTAAAAATATTTACATTTTGCATTTTGCATTTACATGCATATACATGCTTTGTGTTAAAGCCTAAAGCTGACAATTACCCGGAAATCAGACGGTACAATTAGAAACTAATAGAAAAACAAACTTCGTTGAATTATGTGGAGGAGTTGAACTATACAGATTTTTTTATTTTGGGGGTTGAGGCAAAATGCAATTAATTATTGAACATTTATTGCATTTTCTTTGTTTTATTGTTTTTGTGGGGGCGTCGACGTACTCTAGCGCCCGCTGCGTACAGTCACGATTCATTGGCTAAGCAATGGCCTCGTTACTGTGAGCCCACCAGTGGCGTCCAGGGGGGGGGGGGGGCCGCCCCGGGGCCCGGCCCCCCCCCCCTTGAGAAAAAAAATCTGTAAAATCACGTGATTTTACCTTTTTGGGGGTTGGGCCCCCCCCCCTGGCGCTCAAGGGGGGGTTGCAAATTTGAATTTTTTTGAGGATCAAAAAAAAAAAAATGTGCCACTACCCCTCCCCCCCCCCCCCCCCCCCCCCCCCCCACTGAGCTAATTTTTGGCCGGCGCGTTTTTCAAATTTTCGGGAGCAAAAAAAAAAAAAAAAAAAGTTGGGCCCCCTCCCCTAAGAAATCCTGGATCCGCGCCTGGAGCCCACAGGATCAAAACCGTGTCGATGTGCTATATTAGTGCCCTTTTATGAGGCATTAATCCTCATTACTGTCAGTTATGACTTAAGGACGTAGGTCCCCTAGTTGATTAGCATTCCGAAGAAGGGGGGGGGGGGGGGGGCTGTCGCTGGCAATCTTGGATCTATTGCGTGTGATGTACAATATGTATGCCTATAAACCTATAGTGCGGATTTTTTGTGTTTTGTCAATACAACAATATTTGTATAAAAGAGAACGCTCCATCTGTTGGTTATTGAATTTTCAGTTTGTATCTCTAAACAATTAAATTGACACCTTACTGTCTGTTTACGATAACACTGTCATTCGTAATGCATGACCTGTGTGTCGTCCATTTCGGACCATCGATCCGCATTTACACGCATATACATGCTTCGTATTAAAGCTGACACAACGTTTGTGATATCGAAACATCGAATAGAAGCTTTTCGTCTTGCACTCATCAGAAAATTATAAACCACAAGAATGAACAGAAGAACCGGAAATCAGACAATATAATTAGAAACTAATAGAAAAACAACTTCTTGCATGTTGCGGTACCAATCACATCTTCATCTACAGAGATGGAGTGGAAAGTGACTTCGCGGACAGTATTTTGGCTGAGTTCGTTGGCTGTTTTAGTTATATTTGTCTCCTCGTATGTCTTTATGGATCCGGCTACCAAGCATCGTATGTATGTAAAGATCGAACATAAACCATTTCATCTTGAATCATGTCTTCCGAATGTGAGTTGTGCCTCTGGACAGACCTTTACAAAAACAGATGACCTCAGAAATATCTCTGCATCAAACGGATCTAGTGACGCTGAAGTACTGGACGGTCGGGCTCATGAACATTTCGATAAAGATGAGAGATTATTACCAACTATTGACGATGCAAATGCTGCAGAGGAAATCGATACTGTTTCGGCTTTAGATATGAAAAATGGTTTCTCAAAAGATGTGAGGTCATTAGATCAAAAAATCAGCTACGGATACGACCCTCAAGTCTACGTAGATCTTTACAAGAATATGACAATCAATGATGTGTCCAAGAAGATAACCGATTCCCTCCAGTCATCATCATCATGGCCCAATGGCGGTTCGGATCCAGCGTCTTTGGGGAGCTTTTCAATCAGAATTCTGATCTGTTTTACTTATTTGAGCCATTGTATACTACTACTCAATTACGAGAACAGAAAGGCATTGGATTGTTTACGCCCGAGAGTCAGGAAATGTCCAGGAATATCTTGCGCAACTTATCAAGGTGCCAGTTTGATCCGGATTTTGTGGAAATATTAGTTGGTTGGGGCGGGAAATTCAATAACGAAGCAATATGCAAGGCATCGGGGAGGTGTAGGATAATATCACCGAGCTGGATGAGTGATTTGTGCCGGAAGTATAAAGGCCGACTTGCTTCGAAGCTGATCCGAGCTAATCTCGAACTCCTAAGACCATTGATAGTTGACGATAACATCAATCTGAAGATCGTCCATTTGGTTCGTGACCCTAGGGGCTCTGCATTGTCCAGGATCAAATACACATTATCGAAGAAAATATCTCCGACTGTTCGTTCTCAATTCCCTAAATATGGACGATTGAATCCTCTCAACCTTTTCAGCGTTACTCCAGAAACCGGAGAAACTGTTCGAGGAATGTGCAAGTGGATCAGAAAGAACGCAGTTGTTTCGCCTGATCTTCTACCCGCTTGGTTGCAAAGGCGTTACTACCTCGTCAGGTATGAAGACTTTGCAGACACTCCCCTGAAGGTCACGCAAGACCTCTACAGGTTCGTCGGAATTCCTTTTAAAAAAGAGGTTCAGGATTGGGTGATAAAGAACACGGATGTGACAGTCAGTAAAAATGACTTGTTTTCAACTCACAGGAATTCCCATGTCGCTGCTACACATTGGATCAAAGATCTTACTGAAATGGAAGTCGGGCAGATTGAGGAGGAATGCCAGGACGTTTTAGAACTAATGGGTTACGAACCATATAGCCAACTGATTCACCGGGAACAATCAACGAGATAATTATTTAACTGATCTAGGTCATTGTATTTGTTAATATTTTCATCTAGTTTTATTTAAAAAAATTGTCACAATATGCTCACCGTTACGTTTTGGCGTCATGTTGGAAGCCAATTAAATCTTCACAAAAATGCCCATATTATAACGATGATTCCTATTTGGTATGTGCGGTGCATCTTAAAGGGATCGTTTAACAATGTTAAGTCTGAGATGCCTGGCCCTACGTGTTATCAGTGTCTGTGATATGGTGTAATATCGAAGCCCTACAAAAATTGCGATTCAAAATGATCAAGAAGTGTCTACAAAAAGTAAAAATCTTTGAGCCAGGGAAAAAATTAATATTTATTTTTCGAGGGCTACTTTTCAACCTTGCCTGCATGAAAATAACATTCTAAAATTTGTTTTGCATTGAACTCTATGCAAATTTACTGGGGCTCTTTTCTGATTTTCGGGGGCTCTTTTAGGCATTTCGGGGGCTAATTTGCCCCGAGCCCCCGTGTATTTTTTTCACTGCTTTGAGCGACCAGTTTTACCGTACTTGTTCTCCCAAATATGTTATGAATACCGTTTCGCAAAATTTAATTTCGATTTCCAATCATAAATATCTTGATAATCAGATAGGCGATCGGCTTGTAAAACTTATGGGGTTCCTGACTGACCTTAAGGTTTATACCTGTAGTTATCACTGCAGCATGAGCTAAATCCAGGATTTTGTTTAAGAATCTTAGATAAAGTTACCGGATCCCTTTAATAAGGAATGTCCTACGTGAAGTCGTTGAATTAGTGTGGAGGAGTTGAACTATACAATGTTTGAGATTTGAGGTTTATGAAAAATGTTTCTTGGTTGATCCAGATTGATATTTGGGGTGGGGGGTGGGGTTCTCTGAAAAGCAAATTCTCTCTTTCAATATTTTCCTTTGGTGAATTCGAACTTTTTAAAGTTTAAAGTACGGCCCAAAAATAGATGGCATTCATTTTGCTGCTATTTTTATTTGTTGGGGGGGGGGGGGAGAAGTTTATTTTTCTTTCAATCTGACCACCATTTTTAGCCTTGTAACTAAATTCAAGTATCTGACGACTGAGGACCGTGGCTCGTTGGGAAATTTTCCGCTAATTGGTAAGGCAAAGAATTGGTTGCAAAAGAACGTACGTGCGCGCGCGTACCACGTGCACGTGTAGGCACGATTCACATTTTCATAATGAAACCAAATTTACCGGGTAAAAAATGTTTGTGAAACGCCTCGATACGAACTATTTCAAAGCGGACGAGATACGGCTAACGAGAAGCATGCACATACACAGTGACCACAGAATCAATATTGTTAACAATAGTAACGAGACATAATGATAATAAAGGTAATAATGATGACAGCTGTCATACTGTAGGAATTTTTTGTTGGATTTCTCCAAGGCATTTGACACAATTGATCAAAACATTTTTGTTTAAAAAGCTTCAGCATTATGGTGTCAGGGGCAAGGCCTTGGAGTGGTACAACAGTTACCTCAGTAGTCGAACACAGTTTGTTTCATTAAATGGGATTGCATCGAATGTCAATTAAGCCTGTCACGTGCGGTGTTCCTCAGGGATCTCTTTTAGGGCCTCTACTATTCATAACATATATAAATGACTTCAAATTTTCATCCCGACTATTGTCATTTATATTATACGCAGATGACTCAAGCATACATGTATTTTATTCTCATGAGAATTCTCAAATTCTTGTTGAAACTGTTAATCAAAAAGTAAATTGAAAATATTGCACAGTGGATCTTTGCCAATAGACTGTCACTGAACTTGGACAAAACTAATTTCATATTATTTAGCAAATTAGTTATCCGATTTACCTGGAGATATCTATTTTAACAATGTCAAAATTAAGAAAGTAAATTCGACCAAGTTTCGTGGCCTGTTTATTGATGATAGAATGACCTAGAAAGTACATACACATTATTTGTGTTCATCACTATCAAGACATGCTGGTGTGTCTTCCCATTATGTATTGCAAATGTTGTACTTCACTTTAATGTTACCCTACTTGAACTATGGTATTCTTGCCTGGGGTAGTTCATTGAAACTTCAACTGGAAAAAATCCTGGTTGTTCAAAAAAGAGCAATACGAACAATTTGCAATGTACCTTTTCGTACTCACTCGTGCCTTCTTTTCTTCAATACCAAAGTACTGAGAGTTCAGGATATTTTAAATTTACAATTAGGCTCATGTTTCAGCTGAATAACAACGAACTGCCCCAGGTACTATCTTATTTTTTAAAGAAAATAAGTCAAGTCCACTACTATCCTACCCGACAGGCTTTTTTCCTATCACCTTCCTAGAACGAGAACACGCTTTGCTCAAAATGCCTTAATATATACATGTCCTAAGTTCTGGAATTCTCTCGATTCTGTGATTAAAAGGTCTGTAAGTGTTCATGTATTCAGGAGAAAATTGAAATGTTATTATTTGAATACATATTGTCATTTCTGATTCCTGACTATTCCTGTCTCCAAGCTGTATGCTTTTGTTGATTCCAATGAGTAAAGAACGGTATGACCATGCCAAGTATGTTTATAATATACTCATATCGAGAACAAACTATATTGTATTATTGTTTCAATAAACTGCAGATATATTCCCTTACCTTTCCCTTTTCTTTTGTAGTTAATTGTGAGTATCGGTTCATGGTTGCCTGTAATCTCCGTTTCCCTGTTTTAGCGTGTATTTGTATTTTATAAACTTTACTTTAGTTAATTATGTCATTTGCAGTTTAAGAGCCTATCCACAACAAGCTTCAACTCAATGGACAATTTTCTGAATAGTGTGTATCGGTATTGTATGCACATGTTTATTATAATCATTTTCAATGTATTGTTACACTCTTTGTAAAATGAGATATTCTGGAAACCAATAAACCATCTATCTATCTATCTGCAATGTCTTGTACGCATTTGTGAGCACATTTTTTTTTTTGGACCTCGAAAATTTTAAAATTTGCACCCCGCCCCCTGGATCCGCCACTGTCACCGACCCCCCCCCCCCAGAAAAAGGGTAAATTCAAGTATTGACAGGTCATTGTCAACACTAAGGGGCCGAGGGGGGGGGGGGGGAGGTGACAAAAACAAAGTAACAAATTAAAGGTAAAGATCAGTTTGGAAATGCCCCCCTCTCAAAAAATGAAATGGAAGCTCTAATTATTACCAATCATTTGAAAGAATATGTTTTGACTAATACGTGATGATACAAATTTGCCATATTGCTCCGGTTGTCATATTTTCGCTCGCTGGACGTATATAGCAGACGACAATCGGCGAATTAGACGACACAAATTGGAAGTGAATTTGTATGTGAGATTGCTTTGCTAAATATAAAATACAAGAATGTTTTCCATATCTTTAAACTATCATTGATATCTGCTAATTAAAGAGTTATTAAAATAAACCTACAAAACTACATAATACAATGAAATACTTGACTTAAAGTAGGGGAGTTTGATGTGGTGCACAATTGCACCCCTCTGTAAATAATCAAATAGTTCATGGCGATCATGAATATTCATGTTTTTGCTTACCTCGGCAAAATGTTTGCTTATATCTTCAATGGAAAAATTGAGGTGGGGGGTTGGCAGAAATGGACATAATGAACCAAGCACAACTGATCTATGATAATTCATGCTTCTCATCCTTCGTGTGCTTGACCTATAATCTAACAATCGCGGGGTAAATTGCGTCCAAAGTTCGACTCGTTACACATGCGTTATATATGCAATGGCGAGCTTGCGACCTATTTTGATCAAATTACGGTGGGTGAACTTTCAAAAGTCAATGGGACATGAGGGTTCCAATGAAAGAGCTAGTGTCAACGTATGTCGGGGTGGATGTGCGTTTCGTTTAAACAAAAAAAGATTTTTTTTAAAAACGATTTTTTAAGGTAAAAGTCCATAGGCTAACATTTTTATAGGCTGCTGGACTCTGACGATAGGGGGCGTTCTCAAATGAGACTAAACGGAGCTATATGGTGTGCATTCGTGTCTTTCTGTGTTTGACTTCACATAGTTATTTTGTGTGAAACAGTTTAAATAATAAAAAATAGTTCAAGCAACCTAAACGTACGATAAATGGATAGTTTTGCTTCTCCATCTTTTAAAAATATTTTTAACACACCCTTTCGGCAAAACCGGGGGGGGGGGGGGAGCTTTGGACGAATGGTCGCGTTCAAGTCCCTACCCACCCTGTCGGCATAAGCTTCTCTATTGGATTCAACTCTATGGGTCCAACAGAAACCAATAGACTCCAACAGAAACCATTAGAGACCAACACATTTTTTTAATGGTCTCTATTAGTCTCTATGGGATTTTCGACCTGGGCATACCCAGCACACATACACAATCAACCCACACGCTCAAAAACTTCACACACAATCACAACGCGTACAACAATCACACATCCCACAACTACAGTCAAAACTGCTTTAGTGGCCACCTGTCTTTAAAGACCACCTGTCTACAAAGAACACATTTTTTATTTCCCTTGAAAATGGTTTCTCATTGAATCATGTACTAAATGAACCTGTTTCCTAATTTTGAACTAATCGGATATTTTTAAATTTTCTATTCCATTAGGCCTAAATTTCATGGACACAGGCCGTCTGCATTAGTTTTGCCAGGATGGATTAGACCACCCAGGTGGTCACTGACAGGTGGTTATCTCATCTAATCAGCTCTCAACTAACATAAGAAAGAGAGCATCATGTGGGACCAATGGGCACCGTTTATGCATTGTTTTCTATATAGAGGGAGCAAGTAGCTACAAGTAGTACAGTGGAGCTTTAATGCACCCCAACATGTGGTTTGTCAGAGATTTTGCGGTCGTGTGCTAGACCTCCCCTTTTCTATTCGGCATTGTTGATTATAGTGTTTATTGCTATAGAAAAAAAACAACTAAACTAACCTCTTTCGCCTTAATCATATCTAGTATACCTTTATCTCTCCCCCTCTCTCACTCACCCTCTCCAACTCACCCTCTCTTTCCCCCTTCTCTCTTTGTCCCTCTCCTTCCCCGCACTTTCTCTCTTTTCGCGTTGACTTAATTCAATCTTATTGCTATTCCCTGATCGGAAATAATATTTTTCACATTTACACCGTGGTACATCAAAATAATTAACGAACGCAACACAATTAAAAACACTAAACAACCACTAAAAACATTTTCATTAAATTATATAAAGCAATTATTTATTGGCATAAATCATCATCTTTCAAAAATTAGGCGCACGTCTAAATTCACAGTTTAAATGTTCATATTCCCGTTGAATACAAAATATTCATAATTCACTTTTTCATCAAATCATGACGGTCATAACAGTGGAATCGTGGAAAGAGTTATCATGCTTGTAACCAATTAATTGCCAATTTATATCGATTTTACTCACCTAGTAACTCCCCCGCCCCTGACACCTGTTTCTGCTCGATAATTGGAACCTAGCAACAACATCGTAATAACAACAGGTGAGGAGAGAAATGAATTCTCAGGATTCCTCAACATAAGCTCCAGTAAAAATTGTTCTGAAACATTTTTTCAACAAAATTAGGTTAAGGGTTAGGGTAAAATTTGCTTCGTTTTTAGGCTTATAGGTTAAGGCCTCGGATAATGTTTACTGTTTGGGGCAGGGTTAAAGTTAGACCGAAAGCTTCAGTCCATGACAGGCGCGTACGCAGACGGGGAGGGGGGGGGGGGTTACCCCCCTCAAATCTTTTATTGTGGGTATCGGAGGATACCCCCCCTCACTTTTTGTCAAATAAAATATTTTTTTAAAAAATATAAAAATTACCTTACCCACCCCCCCCCCCCCCACTGAACGAAATATCGGTCGGCCTCATTTTCCAATTTTCGGGACAAAAAAAAATTGCTCTTATTTCCCCCCCCCCCCTTCCCCCCCCCCCCCCCGCTTATTCAGCGGCGGCCGCCATGTGGACACCTCATCACCCAAAAAAGTTGCGACCAATCATAAAAAACAACTAAACGTAGCTTTGCAACACAAGCCAATCAGGATCGAGAATTTAGCGGCGATTCTGTGAAAGGTGACCATTAATTGCCCAATGGTAGAGGTTTAAAAGTGCTTCTTTCTCTTGGTAAAAAGATTTTTCACTTTGTAATTGTCATAAAATTTGAGAATCAGTACCATTCCCGCATTTTGAGACCGTCATATATTTTGGGTGGCTCTTATACGGTTGTACGTTCACAATATTATGAACGCCATTGCAAAGAAAACAAAATAACCCCCTTAACAACGTCGGACGTTTTGAATAGCCTCATGCACAATTTTAAAAATGTGCAACTTACGATGACATATTGAATAATTCAAACACTTTTTCTCACTAGGGTATTGAAATTCCCTAGGAGTTCATTTCTTGAAAGCCTTTGCGATCATATTACTATGATGATAATGTACTGGACTAGGCTATCTTTCACAGCAATAGAAATGTAACAGTATTACATTTGTTATTTTTCACCAAATCGTCCTTGTTTACATGAAGTGACGGTAGTGACGAAAATCGTAACGCAAAGTGAATGCAATTTTTTTTCACTACCGTCACTTCGTGAAAACAGCAACGAAATACTTTCGGGGAAAAGGTAGGAAGGAACACGTGGCCAATAAATTGATTTCACAAGGTCCTGCGAATTTCGATTCTCGATTACTTCCGGGTTATTACGGTTAATATGTATTAAAGATAAACTTGAGTTCTGGTAAAATAAGAAAATGAATTCTCACAGAATTAAACGAAACTTACACTGAATGTTCAAGATTGAAAATAAATGTCATTTGCCAAACAATTTAGGTAGAAAATGTAAACTGGCTGAGTAATGAGCATAGAAAGATAAATAAATCGAGCTAGGTAAGTAACCCCGACACCATTGTGTAGTCCCGTGTGCATCTTTCTTTGTGCGGTGCTTGTTGCTTTGCCAAGACTGGGCTAGATTTATTATGATGTTGATGACTCCAGAACCTTGCAGTACACACCAATACTTGCATGCTACATGATCGACCTTTTCTGATCCATTCCACACCTTTTCTTTCACAATGCAATCGCATGACCAGAACTCAACTTTATCTTTAAATAGTTATCATAATATCAGTACACATTGATGTCGTAATGTAACAAACAAACAATATAATCAGTGTTTACTTCAGAAAGCAATAATGATGGAAAAGACAAGAGTAATAATAACTAAAAATATCGCAATCTGTATTGCCGCGCAATGCGAATGTATTCCCCGGCAGTGGCAGCGATTTTGTGTCATCCTTATGTTCGAAGGAGGGACAAAGATCCCCTCTCCCCTCTCTGAAAGAAAAGGATGGCGTAGAGATCGCCACTAGTGGCTCAGACTATTGTCAAGACTAGGAGCAGCATCATCAAAACAATATCTGTGTAGATTAGAGTATAATGCATCTTTGTAGAAAATTTGAAAGAAATCTGTCAAGAAATGTGGCAGTTAGACTGCACACTAGAGTGCACACAAGTCACCTATCATAATATGACCTTTAACCCTGTAAAAGACGGAACACTAAAGGCATCATCACTAAAATCTATAGGCTTGTAGATTATACCAAGATACACCTTCATTTCAAATTTGAACGAAATCCCTTGAGAAATGTGGCCTATAGAGCGCACACAAACCATCCACAAAAATATGACCTTTTACCCTATAGAAGACGGAACACTGGGGGCAGCATCACCAAAAGTTATAGGTGTTGAGATTGTACCACGATACACCTCCATACAAAATTTGAAAGAAATCCGTCAAGGAATGTGGCAGTTAGAGCGCACACAAGAATATGACGCGGCGGCGTAACGCTGCTGAATCCAAAGTACTCCACGGGCATACTGCCGGGGGATACAATTACAATGTAAAGTGCTTCGAAAACATTTTATTTATTAGCGCTATACCATGTGACTATTATCATCATTAAGTTTCATCATTAATCTGAAGAGTTATCGATTCGAAATGAAATACAACCGAGAGTACTGTATAGGAAAGATAAATAGATAAAGATATGTTTTTCATCAACGCTCCGATAGTCTTATACACGAGTAAAATAAGATTATGGAATCACATCACACGTGTGTATGAAAATTCATCTCTATTTACAAGAAGTAGTATTTTTAAATAATACCATATTGTTTTTCTAGTATTTTTGATAAATACCTCTTGATATAATCATTGTTTCCACAAAATTCATTTTGGGAAAAGAAAAGATCTTTGGGCAAGAAAGGCTAAAAAGAATATATCTTGGAGTAAAATCATTGCGAATCATTTTCAAGAAGAAAAAAAGTATTAGTATATGAATGAAAGATAAGGAGAATGATTACAGAAAAAAGAAGAAAAAGAAAACAATAGTAGGATAAATGTTTTCTTCACATAATTTGTGAAAGATTATCTCTTCACAAATTCGTAATAACGCGGTGACGTACGTGTATTTGACCGAAAAACAGGCAAACACATTCGATACCGATCTTAAAAATCTAAAGTAAATCAGCAAACGATCAAGATATCTTGTCCACAAAATGTTTGAATAATAAATATCGATGCATATTTTTGTACAAAAGTATCATTGTGCAAGAAAATAATTACTACAATATAGTGCACAATAAGGAAAACGTAAAATAGTGTTGTAATGATATATTGATTTCAGGTAAGAAAGAAAAACAAACAAACAAATTCTTGCATAACCTCAAAACACATAGTAGTATTCATATTATTTAGTACTTTTAAAAAACCTATCTGCCTTTGGCCATAGACTCAGAATAGTTTCATCACTGATCGTGGTGGCTTAGAAATATAGCACCATAATAACTGATCAAAAATCATAATTTGAGAAATCTTATACATGTATTTTATCAATTTTGTTAAAACAAGGGACATTTAGAATCTATATCTTAATCTTTGTTTTAATGAAAAAAGTGATTTAATCACAATGCTTAACTATGGTCAGCAAGACCAAAAGTCCAACGTTTTAGCTTTCTTTCTTTCTATTTTTACTCCTGAAAAACCATAACGTGACAGGTAAAAGTCAAATGCCAAGAGAGGATTATAAAGGATGAATGTTGGTCAATAATAACGTAGTACACGGCTTTATCACCGCTACATATATCATGTTACATTATAAAAGAGATCGAGCATTCCTTCATCTAAAGTGACTCTTGCACTTGAGTGAATTGCCATCCAAATATCAGAACCCCTTGTTACGACACTATTTCCCAAAGTTTAATGGAAATCAACATTAATAACTAATCATAAATAATCAAGGATCATCTTCTTTTGGCAAAATACAAAACCTAAAATGCATTACATGCAATATCAATAAAGTAGAAATTTCAGTTACTGCAACATCATAGTACCTATAAAAACGATTAAAGTACATTTCTATTTTCACAGTAAATTTTAGGCAGTAGAATCTCATCACATCACATCACAAAGAATTACATTTTTCTTGTTTGGTTTCCATGATCTCAAAGACGTATGAAAAATCAAACAAAGGTCAAATAAATGTCCTTGTCAATCCCCTTTTGAAGTGTGTAAACGTCAAAAATACATAATTGTATTAGGTAATCTGAATACGATTTCTGGTGGATATCAAATAAATGAATAACGTTAAACGAATGCACTTGCCTTGATTTATTGAAAGTTCTTTGCGTTCGTGCTTTGAACACAAATAGGAAAAAAAGTGCAATCAGGGGGGTGTTTCATAAAGCTGTTCGTAAAGTTACGCATGACTTTACGAACGACTTGTATATGATAAGCCAAATGGGATGCTCAATCGTTAATAAATATATCAACTAAAGTTGAACTGTGCAGATGTAGATTAATATTCTTATGATAATAAACATATTTAATGCAAGGAATATTTTTTGCCATAATTTAATTGAGGTTATTGAAACTATCAGAGAAAAACTTTGGGCATCCTATCTGGCACTTCATATACAAGTCGTGCGTGAAGTCATGCGTAACTTTACGAACAGCTTTATGAAACACCCCCCTAATAAGGGCAAGTCCAAGCTACTGTCCAACACATGAGGCATTCTTACAATCATGATCGCAGTATTAAAGAAAGGGCTGATATCCACCTCTCAAGCATACCCTTGCCTTGATTTATTGAAAGTCTTTTCGATTGTGCTTTATACAAAAATAGGAAAAAAGTGCAACCAGTCCTCATAAGGGCGGGTCCAAGCTACTGTCCAACACATGAGGCATTCTTACAATCATGATCGCAGTATTAAAGAAAGGGCAGATATGTCCAATTCTGAAGCGTATGGTAATATGCATGCATTGCTCCATGTTCTCTGTTACGTATATGGCATTGATGCTCATTTAGGGCTTGTCAATAGTTGTTGTTCATGTTGCAACAAATGACAGAGCAGAACAAACAGGCACGTGCTGAAAACGAATACAAATCACTTTAGAGGAAGAACATATAGAGTAGAGATTACAAGGATGAGGAAAGATTTAAAAAAAGAATAGCGACATAGAGTCAGACGACAAAGAAATAAGAAGAATATCCCGTCTTCAATAGAGAACGTTTGATTTATCTAAACTGATCGTAACTCAACTTGAGTTTGATATCAATCGCAACTATATGTGCCTACACTTTGCGACTAACTGGATGACTTACATACGATTCCGATCAATATGAACTCTTTATAAGACTGACCTCTACAGAAAGTATCATTTAACCAATTAGGAGGAGATGATGACTAAAGAAAGACGATGAAACATGAACAGAAATGAAAACAGGAAGAGCAAGAGACAAATAGTATGATGGGAAAAGGAGAGGAATTCCCCGGAAAGATCAACATTGTCATAAAATATGTCACAATAACTTACTGTTGTTGCCGCTTGATTTAGAAGACAAAATCAAAAGATTTTAATTCGCAAAACTTCTGAATAATTTTCCAAATAATGCGAACGTTTATACCATGTGGGATTGTGATACCACGTAACGAAATTGCATTAACGATGCACCAACTCCTAGCTACTTGTATTGCCTTGTGTCTAGCAAACGTTAATACTGACGAATCTTCGAATAGCTCTTACAAATGGCATTCCACTTGTTCCAACCAAATATGGACGATGGATATTTTCGTTAAAACGAAGAGCTTCAACAATGTTCTAATGACAAAAAGTCATTTAGCAAGTCATTGCTGCATCAACATTATTATCAGCAACTGCTCACAAGCCATGACTGGATCTTTGCGGTTATTTTTGGTACAGGTTGCCCATTTCCTGCTCGCTAGCCTCCGACAACAGCAGCACCTAGACAGCAGTCTCATGTCCAAAAATGTTGCAAAGCGTTTGCAAGGTTGGTGCTATGTTTATAACGGTTTCTTTTGCAGTTCTTTCACAGTTTTTTTGCAGTTCTTTTACAGTTCTTTGGCAGTTCTTTTACAGTACGTTTACAGTACTTATGCAGTTCGTTTGCAGTTCTTTTCAATTTCTTTCACAGTTCTTTTGCAAGTTTACGACTTCGCAGCTGCAGTCTGTGTGAGGAACTCTGCGATAACGTCGAAGCCTGCGTCCTTGGCCATCTCAGCTGCAGTGACGTTATCCTGGAAGCAAGGTTGGTGAAGAAAGGAAGAAAGAAAGACAACAAAAAAAGAAAAGATATGTAATCTCAACTTCAGTTGACTTCCATTCATGAATTCGCTTTAACCCTTAATGAACTGGGCTATTTTGAGCACCCCCCCCCCCTATGATCTCGGCCGTCGAATGTCCGTGAACACGAAAATTTGCATGTTTGTAGATATTTACGTCAGGAATAAGATGGTATAATTAGTTTTTTCCTAATATGCAATTTTTTTTCGTTAAAGCCTAATTAATTAATTATGCAAAATGCTAATTTTATGCATTTTAGGGAAAAGTCTACATATTTGTCTGTAGACTTGTGAAGAATCTTGAAAATTTATTGAATAAATGTTTCCTTCATCTCAAATTCATGAGGTATCATTATTTTTATATTTGAAAATGCATAGGTTAATTTGCATAAATTACGCATTCGAAATTCATCATTTTATTTTCTTATGTATTTTATTGTTTTTTATTTCTTATTATATCTATTGTTTTATTTCTAATGTATTCTTTTGTTCTGGAATACATCAAGTTTCTTTGAGAAACATAAATCAATTCATATCTCCCAGTTTTAGGAAGAAATACATCTAAACCTGTATTCACATTCGCTTGTACATGAATATATGCAATTATAGCACTTTTTGATGACATGCTCATACTAATTGTTACGTAACACCTTACAGGTATATCCGATTTTGACGAAAATGGTATCAACATGTGCGTAAGACTTGAAGGAAAAAAATTCATGAAACGACAATTCAAAATTCCAAGCGTTTGCGGCGCAATCTCCGAAAATGTCGATAGGGGGAGGGGGGGGGGGGGGGGGGGCTCCCAAGCCCCCTCCCAGTACAGTAAGGGTTAAGAAAACTAGATGGAGCAATTTTAGAAACCAAAACAGAAGAAATTTTTCAAATTCAAGTTCAATTGTAATCCATTAGCAGGTTCTCAGAATATTGTGATTACAAGCAATTTCTCATATACATATATGACCCTTTGATCTTTGACCTCATGACCCAAGAATCTACTCGGTTCATTGGCTCTGCAAGATACATACATGATCTAAGTTTGGCAGGAATCCATCAATCTGTTCTAATGATAATGCGATCACAAGCTATTTTTGCCTATATAATGAGCCGCATGACCTTTGACCTTGACCTCATGACCAGAAAATCTAATCAATTCATGGGCTCCGCAAGATACATACATGATCTAAGTTTGGCAGGAATCCATCAATCTGTTCTAATGATAATGCGATCACAAGCTATTTTTGCCTTTATAATGAGCCGCATGACCTTTGACCTTGACCTCATGACCACAAAATCTAATCAATTCATCGGCTCTGCAAGTAACATACATGACATAAGTTTGGCAGGAATCCATTGATCGGTTCTTGAGATAACGCGATCACAAGCTATTTTTGCCTGTATAATGAGCCGCATGACCTTTGACCTTGACCTCACGACCACAAAATCTAATCAATTCATCGGCTCTGCAAGTAACATACATGACCTAAGTTTGGCAGGAATCCATCGATCGGTTCTTGAGATAACGCGATCACGAGCTGTTTTTCGATACATAATAAGCCCTGTGACCTTTGACCTTTGACCTCGTGACCCCAAAATCTAATCAGTTCATTGGCTCTGCAAGATACATACATGACCAAAGTTTGGCAGGAATCCATCAATCGGTAGATAACGCGATCACGAGAACGGGACGTACGGACGGACGGACAACCCGTAAAACATAATGCCTCCGGCTAATTCGTAACGGAGGCATACAAAAGGTAATCCCATTTTCTGAGCTTGACTATGTTCATGCATTTCTCACCTTGTTTTTGAGCGTGACATCTGACCCGGATTCAATCAGTTGTTTGACCACTTTGAGATGACCGAACAAAGCTGCTGCATGAAGAACCGTCTCGCCGTTCTGTTTATCATTAATTAGAGACAAAAAAATACATTCTACATGACGATTCAGTCATTCCCAATCTTTCTCACCAGTGTCAATGGTGATGTATTCCACTATAAGTAAGATGGCCCTTAAAAGGTGTGTAAATAATGAATAACTATTACATATATACATGGATAACAGGAAACAAAAATTAAATTCATAATTCAAAAGTTACCTTTACCCTAATAACAACCTGTTTCTTTTTTAAATACTCTTTGTTAACCAATAAACATAAATACATGCAATTTCCAGCTCGATTCCTTTCAACCGTTGAACAGTGTATGCCCAAACGGCAGCAAAATAATGAATTATATCTTCACGTATCTACCTACTTAATGGGGTAAAAGTCTTTCATACATTAAGTACACATTTATATTTTGTGCTCCACTAATTGGGCTCATGTGCTCACTCTTCCAAATTGTAGGCCCCTAAAGGAATATAACATGTAATAAATTAGCATCTAAAGAATGTATTTTTGGCACTGAGCCCCATTTTCTTTTTCTTTCCCCCTGAAAAAAGAAAGAACAAATCCTGGGTCCGCCCCTGCACCTACCTGCAGTATCCCGAGGGAGGCGCCCTTCATTATGAGGTCGCTCACGCAGTCTGTGTAGCCCTTATGGGCTGCCTTGAAGAGCGGGGTCGCCCCATCCTGCTTGGATAATTGGGAGGAAAAATGGTGAACAGGTGAAACCAAAGGGCATGCAGATATTCCATGCGTGCAGCACAGCAAAGTGGCGGGGTGAAATTAAATCGTGTTCAAATCGTGTTCAAATCGTGAGGTGATCAAACATCATTGCAGTGTCCACAAGAGCAAGTTTGGAAAGTCCAAATAATGATTTTAAAAAATGTAAGTGGCAAACATAGGTTTAATAATCAAAGTAATCAGCGAAACAAACTCGCTCAAATCATAACGCGGAAGTTGTGAATTCAACAGGATCTAAGGATTAGAGATTGGGAATTTAGTTTTCTGAATTTGGGCAGGGGCATATATCAGCTGTCATCCTTTAAATTTAGTAATTAAAAAAATAAAAAATAAAAAAATAAAAAAATTGTCGTTCACGAGGAGAAGGGAAAGGACGTTATGTAAAGAAAGGAAGGGGAAGGAGGAGGGGAGGAGAGAAAGGGGAAGAAAACGAAGAGGAAGAGACACCGGTATGGGTGCCTCTACTGCAAACTGGGGCGATTCGATCATTTTTCAAACTCAGCAAGGCTGGTTAGGCTTAGTAAAAATACTGCGTTGTGAAATGTGGGGATAGTGGCAAATAGCAAAGTAAAACGCAACAAACTTTAAGGTCAACCTTACGGTAGATTCGTAATGCATCACATTATTTAGGAGATTTCATAGTTCATGTAAAAACATGAGTGATTCAATGATGCTATCGCAAAGGCCATGCTGTAAAGTCGTACACTATATCGTGATACAGACTATAAGGAAATTAGCCGCGCATTGGAAATTATCGATGAACTAGGGTACCAAATGGTAAACACAAATAAACTCAAGCTTGAACGCAGAATTAAACAAAAATATGAACAGATTCATGAAGGGAGCGAATGTGGGTATGATGGTAGCCATTAATAATCATGACACTATACCCATGGCGATGACGAAGACAACAATGATGATGATGATGAAAATGTTGACGACAATGATAAGGATGATGACGACAAATGTGTTGTTGTTGAAGATAATGTCGATGATGTTTAATGATTTTGTTGATGATAAAGATGATGATGTTGTTGATGATGATGATGATGTATTTTGTAGATGATGGTCATTAGGATGATGATTGTGGAGATGATCAAAATCATTTCATTAACAAAATTAAGATGATAACAATGAAATAAACACTACTAACATCAAGGAATGTTCTACAAAATATTATTTAACAAGACAGAATACGATCACAACAACGTTATTACAGAAGACAAAAATTCGAGGAAACTGAAAGGAACAGGTAAATTAAATTAAATTAATAATGATTGTTAAAAAATGAGAAGTATGGCGAGGATGTCACACCAGAAATAAAACTAAATCCCCCGAAAGCCAAGCAAGTACAAATGATTGGAGACCAGCATGAACACAAATAAAGTGGTGATATACTGATATGAACTGGCTTCGAAATTAGGACAAAACAGTATTGAAACACACATTGCAACACATTCGTGCTCAAAATGAAAAAAATCAAAGCGAGGCACAGGCGGGAGACAAAAGTTTGTCATTAAAAGAAAAAAGTAGCTTAAAGGTACTATGTCCCTTTTGCAGCCAACCTCAAATTCTGTAGAACTTTGCAGGAATTATGAATATGTCATGTATGTCCTATCTGTGAAATTTAAACGTTAGCAGTGTCCTCATATTCAAATTATGCAAGGAAACCTGTTTACTTGCTAGACTTCACTGTCAGACACTATTGAGTGACTGACTGGCTTTTTTTCTTCTTTGGTAATAACATGTACATGAAAAGAGTTGTAAAGGGTGAATGAGCATTTGTCTACATCAATAACCCACTTCTTGTGATGGCCAAGATTAAACTGATTGAATCTTTGCGCAGCATAAAACGTATGACCATTCAGTACAATTGTCTGAAAATCAAGACTATTACTTTTGGGCTCTATAGCCCTAAAGTCGATTTGACAACTGATAGTCGTTATTTTCCCACTTGAAGACATTTTCAAGCCCCACCTTTTTTAGGGAAGTTCTAAATTAGTATTATCTTTTAATTGCAGATGGAATTTAACTTTTTCATTTTTTTGGCCTGCAAATGGGACATAGTACCTTTAAACTTCCATATTGCCATTAAACCGTATATAAAATGTGTTATTCATCTCTGTTTCGTTTTTTTTCTCAAAATATAAGGACGAATTTTTTGTTACTGTGAACGTTTTCAACACGTTAGTCAGAATCGAGAACTTCAATTTCGTAACACAGTTATTGCCAAATACCACAAATGCAAGAAATTGAAATACAATCAAATTATATTTTCCTCTTCATTCTTGCTGATAAAATTCATTAATAGTTTTCTATCGAAACTGCGTTTATATATATGAATTTCTGTTTTTGCGAGAAATGTCTTCCAACTGGCCGATCAACAAGTCAATTGTCAGGCAGCTGCCATATTTTCTTAGATAAAGAAGAGTTTCGACTTTAGTTTCGACCACAACGGAGAGAAAAGGTAGAGAGATCTCTCAGCTCAAGCTACTGTCAAGAGTCTTCAGGCGGGTGTTTCACAAAACTTGTCATCAGTGACAAATGACATGTTTTGTTATAAGCTTCTGAAATCCTTGCTTCTGATTGGTTATCAGCAGATTTATCACTGATTTTTTTGTCATTTGTCATTGTAAAAAGGCTTTGTGAAACGGGTCCCTGAGCTCGTGTCTTACCTCCCTAGCCTCATCCACCTTGGCTCCGGACAGAAGAAGTTCCCGGATGATCTCACTGTGCCCCATCTGAGCTGCTATCCACAACGGTGAGGCTTTGTCCTGTCAAAAAAATGTAGAAATTGAACCTCTTCATTGACTTATTCGGGACAGGGGAGGGGTGGGGGAGGGGTCGGTACCAGTGCCATTGATTAGGAGAGTTTGGCCAACCCGGTTCGAGTTGGACACAACATGGCGACTACTGCTTTGTTGGGCAAGCACAAAACAAAAGAATATAGACCATGTTGTGACCCAGTGAACCCAAGTTGGCCAAACTCTGTGTATAGATGGCTCTGATCGGTACCAGGGGAACGCGCCCTCTCACGGCATTTTTTTTTTCGTCACTGAATTTTGAAGTGTACCCAAAATGGCAAATCGAAAACTGACGCCCTTCTGTTTTTTTAAAACGAAGAACGGGTGCTTCCTTCCTATTGTTTTGGGTGGAGAATAGCTCTCATAATAATATAAGAATGCATATTCATCACAGATTATCAACCTTTTCTCGTTCGAACCATATCTCTACGGTACAATGTTGTTTTTTTAAACTGTTTATTTCTACATACTGTTTTTTTTTTAAAGAGATGCGATGTTAAGAATTAAAATATTACTGCTTATTATAATAGTTATTTATCACGTACTAGTCCAAGAGAATATTATATCAATATTCGGGCTATCGCAACAACCGTCTCCCCGTAAAAATGTACCCAGCCTCCCATGTCTGAAACCGGGAGAGTATTTTATCCCTTAATAAAAATGAATAAATATGAACAGATTCAAACCGGATTCCAATCCGTTTATTAAAAAAATCCAGTATAATGTTTGGAGCATGAGTGTAGTTCTCCAGTCCTCCCAACAATCCGTAAGTATTATAAAAGGCTTCTCTTCATCAGTTCGAGTTTGCCAAATGACCCGCTATTTTAACTATCCCGATCGCAAAGTAGCCAGTTAATTCTCGTTTTCATCAGCCCGCAGTTGCAATTAGCGGGATATTCGGTCAAGAAAATATCCCGAGAAATCTTGGTCTTGTTTCCAAAATATCCCCTTGCGCCCGTCCGAGCAAGTTTGTGATGAGTGTATCAGTCTGGTGAAGAAGCAATTTCGAACTGCGGGATAATATCCAGAGTCTGAAAAGAGCGGGTTATTTGGCAAACTCAAGCTGATGAGGACAGGCCTGCAAGCCAGACTTTCGATTCCATCTATCATTTTATAACTTACCTTTCTCGTCTGGTCGACCTTAGCTCCCTGTGCTATTAAGTACTTGAGCATGTTATAATGACCGTTCTGAGCTGCGATGAAAAGAGGTGTAGCACCGTCCTACCGAAAAGAGAGAGAAAGAGAAAGAAAAAAGGATATAGAATTGGTCAAAGTTCATCAAAAATCTGTGATCTCAATTGCTAAAAAGGTACAGTTACACAACGATTCGTTTTCTATCGCTCACTGCGTGTTTTTCTGTGTTTTGTTGTTGTTGATGGATACTGTAGGTATTGATATTGCAACGGAATGAAATTTAAGTTGCCTCTGTAGCAGAATGTCATGTCAGAAACAAAATATTCCACCTTTCATAAGTTGTAACAAAGTTTAATTCTTCAAAACGGCCACGAAACATCTACGGGTCTAGACAAAAATGAGATGGGGGAAATTTCTATTTTCGTATATATCTTTTTTCTTCCTACACACAAATCGCTTCATCATATTCTCAGATATTTTGCAGTTTATCGATTTATTATTATCATTAATGTTTAGTGGACAAAGGGAGAGTTATCGCCTTGGGAATGGATGTCAATGATCTCCATCATACCGTCATCGTTCTGTGGATGTTGGCTCCTCTCGTTACCAACTCCTTCACGACGTCGAGATGATTGCACTGACATGCAACAAACAATGGTGTTCCACCATCCTGGGAAAGAAATAACAGTAATAAATAAGCATGAATGGTTGTCGAATTCAATTTTTATCATAGGGTGGGCGCTCATCTTCTTCGCGATTCTTACACTGGAGGTTCAGTGAGCGTTAGGAGGAGACGGTTAGACCGGGTGTTTGGCCCATTCATTCCTTCCGTGTGTTCAAAATGGGTACCTGAAATTACTTGCGAAATAATAATTTACCTATGTTTGCTAGGGACTTGGTAACATTGTTCAGATGAGCAAAAATGGTAGGTAGTGACTTCAATGCTAGATGTACAATTAAAGATAATCTGAAAGTTTGAGTGAAAACAGACGATTATTAATGATAAAAATTGGGGAAAATGTATCTGATTGATTATTATTCTTATAATATGATTATATTTTAGTAAATGTAAACCGTCACAAGGCAACGAATTGGCTCTACATATTATTCCAGATATTTAAGTGTTGAAAGATTTTTAAAAGTCTGTCTTATGTTTTTTTTCATGGAAAAACGATTAGGAAAACTCAAAAATGGTTGGGAGAATTTACTGTTACAGGGCGTTGCAAAGTGACACCTTCAATGAAAACCATAAGTTACTTGGTAGTTTGAGAATTTTTCAGGATTTGTTTGCATGTTAGAGGGTTAGTAAAGTAGAAGGAACTTAATAAGTGACATTTCATACAAAAATGACGCAGTTTTTCCACCAACCTTCAACAATGTTACCGAGTCACTTTAACTGTATACCTGGCAAATTGTTGCAGGACCTGCATAGAAAGCAATATGACGAATGCTGTGCGTGGCTACCCCTGGTAAAAATAACAAAATGACTATTTATCGACTTCTATAAAATGTCTATTTATCACTAGCTAACACTTTTATTTCTAATGTACTAATTACCTGGCTTGGTAAATCATTCTGTGCTCCCTCCTCTAACAGCTCTTTGACGATTTCTAGGAAACCTCCCTGGGCTGCAAAGAACAGAGCTGTGGTCCCGGTCTGGTATGTAATGAACAAAAAACAACAACAACAGAATTAGTATACCATGAAAAATATAATACAAACAAAATATTCAAACTGATACTTAGAAACCTCGCTCCAATTGCAATCCTTCTTAATATTGGTGATTTCCACAGGTTTATTTTTTTTTAAATTAAAAAACCCATTATGCTGGATACCTATGTATACTTTCTATTTCAAAACTTTAATCCATGTACAATGTATCATATTATTGAATGTTGAATTGTATATCTGATTTCTTGTCATAATTACTGTTCTGTTGGAAATGAAAACTGAAACTGAAACTTAACCGTTACATTTTGATTTGTTGGTATATTGACTTATTTATGATCATGGTTTCATCGGAAGAAGAAGTGTAACCAACGAGAAATATCCTGTACAGAAAAAAACAAAGAAACTGAGTCGTACAGAGTACGCACGTAATAATAAAGTATAACATTATTACACAAAACATTTCGGGCAAGCGTTTCTCCTCGTGGGCTTTGCTCTTGTAAATCTCTAAGATAGTCTTCACACGGTACAGAGGAAAAAAAAAACGGTTATTTCTTGTTTGTTTGTCGTTGTTGTGTGTGTTTTATTATTAATTATTGTTATTATTATTATTATTATTATTATTATTATTTTTTTTTTTTTTTTTTTTTTTGGGGGGGGGGGGTTGTCATTGAATCCCATTTACTAACAGTCTCGTGAACTTCAGGGTTTTTTCAAAAAGATCCTAAGTTGAACTTATCTCTAAGTTAGACTTAACGATTATGGAAAACCTTCAGCATCTTTGAAAATGTTATGTAAAAGTTATTTTAAAAGGCATTAAATGTTGATTCAAATCATTCATATTTTCTAATATCAAGGAGATTTCATGTTCTTGATGTGGAATTTATGAAAAGTCTAAAATACTTCAATTTTTGCTTTTTAATATATTTTATTTTAAGGCTACAAATGGCTCAGTCTCCATAATGTTAAAGTCAAACTTAGAGTTAAGGTCGACTTAGGATCTTTGTGAAACACCCAAGGTCATATGGAATACCCTCTGTCATGGAATATACTTACGGCTCTCCTTTCGTTGGGGTCTGCTCCTTCACCGATCAGTTCCCTCACACACTCGAGGTGGTCATTCGCTGCGGCCAAGATCAGCGGCGTCGTCCCATCCTGTTCAAAAAGAAATAGAAAAGAGAACACTATATCATTTATTTGAACTTATGATAACAATAATATTCAGTTCTTGTATAGCGCATAATGTATTATGGAATAACATCGGTATGCGCTTCCAAAGAGCTTTGGAAATGATTACCTTAGCTTCAGCTCCGGCAGCCGTTATCAGCGCACAGTGCATTTCAAGTCAATGACACATAATTATATAAAAAAAAAAAAGTAAAACCATGCTTCTATTGACGACCGATCATGAATGAAACGATGACTAAAAATTACGACGTGGCAAATGTGGAGATGAGTCATGTGAACCATAAGAATGATTAATGGCTGCAAAATAATTATCGTACATTTTCATGTGAGGGTAAGATTCATCACTAGATGATATCGGCGACATGGAACATGTTGCATGCGCTGCAAGTATGTAACTTGCAACTGCGTCTGCATGTATATAATAGCCTCTTAATATAGATTTTGCATTACGAAAATAACAATATTGTCTTAGATCTCCCTGCTCTATTATATCCATCCTTTATTCTTTCTTTCTTCATATCCTTTTGTTTACAGTAAAGGTCATGTCTTCTCATGTCAGACTTGCTTGCCTCTCATTTCTATTATCTCTATTTCACATGAACTTTCTCTTCGAAAAATGGTTTGAATACCAGACATAATATCAAGTGCGTTGCCTTTCCACACATTGCTTCCTCCCCGTTCGATCAATTCAAAAATAGCCCTATTTACAGGTTCCTCCGGGTATCATTTGACACTTCCTCTTCCCTGAAGCAAAACAAAAATATACTTTGTTAAGAAATTCTTTGGAATGATGTCCAAGGTTGAATGTTATTGCACAACATCATCTTCAATAGAGACGGGTATTATCACTACGATTGGCAGAAGAGGGGGGGGGGGGGGGGGGGGGGGGGCTGGAGGAGGGAGAGGAGAAGGGAGAAGAGGAAGAAAATGTGATAATCGTGATAATACTTTTTTTCTCAACACTGCTACATTCTTATGCGTAAAGCCATCTCAAAAGCAGCATCGTTGATAAAGGAAGAGAGAGAACGAGAGAGAGAAAGAGAGAGAGAGAGAGAGAGACATAGGGAGAGAGAAAGGCAAAAGAAAGAGACAGAGAGCGACGGAGACAGTTCCCTATTAAGACAAAAGGAAAACGGGAGGGTGAGAGAGAGAAAAAGAAAGAGACAGAGAGAGAGAGAGAGAGAGAGAGGAGGGGAATAACAATAAGAGCATAGACACAGACTCACAGACAGTAACAGAAAATGAGAAATGGGCAGAGAGAGAGAGAGAGAGAGAGGTAAAAAAAAAAAAGGGGGGGGGGGTCATGAGAGGGGTAACAGGAGTAAAGTAGGAGGAAGGGGTGATCGATCCAAACAGACAGGCTAACAGAGCACGCATATCAAATGATGACACTACTTTAATGCCCGGCATTAATCATTTGCAACATTGCCTTTCGATCACGCAATAATGACCCGCCTACGTTGGCGGGTGATGACGACGACTATGCTCATCACTATTACATTGCCCCTATTTCGGTGTACATTCCTACACGCTCATCGTTTCCTACACGTATCTATGTGGACATACATGTACATTGAGAAGACATTATTGCCTCGTGTGAAGATGGGGCCTGCGTGAGGTGGGGCACGCTACACGGGGTCAATGAATTCGCCCACGCAGTACATAATGGAAATGATGGAAGGAAAAAATATGAAAAGAGACGAAGAGGAGAAAAAAAGAACTATCCAATAACACCCCGGCTCACACGTTAAATAATATGACAAAATGGTGCGTAGGACCATTGTTGCGTAATGAAATACTCTACAGAACAATCTTCAACTTCATACAGTTAACCCGTTGACTAATGAATTGTATAGGTACCATAGGCTTAACACAGGGACCGCCAGGTTCCCTTAAGCAAAGGGTTAAAACTGTCCGATAATAGGTTCACATCAGGTGAAGATAGCATCCCATGATTGCGTGGTCACAGGGTAATGACCAACACGTAGGAGAATATACAAATAATACACAACAGTGAGGGCAAGAGTATATTGCCCACACAAGGTACCTTTGGAAAAGTCTAACACGCCCGAGGCGGTAGCCAAGGGTGTTTGGACTTAAGGTACCGAGTGTGTGTAATTTTACTAATGCCCGAACAAAATGCTGTGTATTATTTGTTTTATAACATTATGTTTTATTTGTTAAATAAAATGATGTTTTATAACATAATTTTACTAATGACCGGTCATTATCCAAATTACGCGTTAGGCAAAATAAATTCCTGGTCACGTGTACGCTTTCAACCAATCATTTGATTAGGATCCACGTCATCATCTTATAATACATATTATGGAAGGTCAAGCAGACACCGCTTGAATCACCGGCTTCCAGGTCATTGTGACGGACAGAATAGTGCGCAGGGCCAATGCAGTGTATTCCCATAGTGATTATTTTAACTCACACTTATCAGTAGCGAAGGGGTTAATAGACCTAGGGAATAGAAACCGATCACTTAGTACATCCAAGGGTAATGACCGTAAAACACATAGAAAGATACACATACAGGACGAGGCAACACCATCTGCACCCCGGCGCCCGGAGTAAGGGTGGGCGAGTCCCCCGACAGGGGCGGTATTCCGAGATTACTTTTTTGTATAATTATTATTATTATTTATCTCAGTAAGATAAAATACCCGAAAAAACTCAAAAATCGGAGTTCTGAGAATCATATCATTTCGATTTTTATCTCGCTACGACAAGCCCATTGTGATGCAATAACCAATGAGAAAAGCTGATAGATTTCATCTTCTTCATGTTCAGCCAAAGAGACCAATGAAAGAAAGGTTCTCATCGGGATGAGATAGGGGCCGACTTTTCAGTGCGTCACAGGTTAATAACCATATAACTGTCAAGTTCGGAAAGCTAGCCAAATAACTCAAGCACGCTGACTCATGGCAATTTGAATATGAAATGGAGATCAATACACAGCGAACACCGATATTTATCCAAGGTACACCTACTATGATACTATACGCCTGTTATTACTTTAAATGACTTTATATACTAGTATTCACCAAAATAAAGCAAATGATAGACACAGAAAGAGATGTGATAGATGGGGGAGAAGGTGACTTAGAGATAAAGAAAGAAAGAAAGAGAGAGGGAGAGGGAACAGAAAGATTGCATGAGTGTGTGTGTGTTTGTACAGAAGTGTGTGAGACTGAGGGAGACAGAGAGAGTGAGGGAAAAATGGCAAGAGCGTGTGTGTGCGTTTGCGTTGTGAGTGCCTGTGGACGTATATAGACGCGCGTGAGACAATGAGGGTAAGGTGTGTGTGTGAGATATTGAGGGGGAGGGGAGAAAGTTATGAAGAAATCACTTGACTTCACTCACTATTGTCATATTGTTCTTCATTGTATTAACCCCTTCCTCTGTCACTTTGTAGTATCACATTCTTAAAATCCACTTCATATTTTGATGATTACTAGTGTCGCAGTACGGTTATATTTAATAACACGACACATCTGTATTTACCTCTTGTTCTGTACTAGATGAATGGGGATACATACACTACCTGTTATACATTGTAGAAATGGTGATGTTTTTATTGTGAATACGAGAGTACATTCTGAATTTGTCATTTACCTTGGTTCTAAATCGGAAGTGGAATCGATAAAGCAAATAATTTGAAATGTATACATTCGTAATTGATTCAGAAGAACAAGTGCTATTAAAGCATTAATTTATTGATTTCAATTCCAATATGTTAAATATCATGATTAGAGATTTCTATTATAAAGCAAAGGGAGACAGTTTATCCAACGTATAAACAACTATAGATAAGATATGAAACATTCCGACAGAAAAGAGAAAAGGGAAAAGAAGAAGAGGAAGAAAAAAAAACATCCGCGGTTATCCTATGCCGACCGCAATAAAACGTGGAAGACATTCAAATCGAAAGATTGTTCATATTCAAATTCAAACATGAAACACTGTTTTGAACACATTAATAAACAGGCTCAAGCAGTTTACATTGTACATGTTTACATTGTTACATTGTTACATTTGTTTAAGTCTTGGTTAATTAAAATATTCTTTACTAATTTACTTCATCAATCCTTTGAAACTTGCTCGACACATTAAACGCAATGTAAATATCTGAAGTTGAATAAGAAATATCGAAGTGAATATGTTTAAGATCAACATGTTAAATTCATTAAGCAAAGTACGTACTAATCATCAACAGTCTCCCCTGCCTAATCAGCCATATGGGGACCGATAAATCTATATTTAATGCATATGATAAACAGATTCCCGCGCAGCTGTATTTTGTATTAACGTGTAATCTACATAGGTAATTACCTCGTAATCAACGTCAATGTTTCAACATACGGTGACCCTAATCAAACAGGAAGGCCCGTGTGGATACAAGGTGGAGATGACCTTTAAGGGAGAAGATGATCAAGATTACATCTCCATCTGATTGGTCTCTTGGATTTAAAGGGAGTGTAGCTTTGCAATAATGGGTATCTTGGCATTATCTCATGTTTAAAGTGACTCTGTAGCATTGCCTCAGATTCAGAAACAAAATCCTGGATTTAGCTCATGACTTTTACAAGCCGATCGCCCGTCTGATTTTCAAGATATTTATGATTGGAATTCGAAATTTCACTTTTCGTTTTCCTAACGGTTTTTATAACGCTACATTCTACTGGGGGAAAATGAGTATGGCAAAACCGGTCACTCAAAGATAATTACTTTTTTGAGGCACTTCATGATCATTTTGATGCGCAATTTTTGCTTCAATATTACACCATATCACATGCACTGATAACACGTAAGGCCATGCATCTCAAATGTAACATACTGGTGGTTTTTGTTGCTGACCGTTATGAGACCATCATGGCTGTGTTTATCGTGCAAGGTGGTGACGACGATGATGATGATGATGATGATGATGACGACAATGATAATGACTGATAATAATTAAAGATCCTAACGATAATGGAGACAAATATAATGCTGTAATAATTACCAAGACGATGGTGAACTACGAACGAGAGGTATCGAGTGAGAGATACTGTCAAGAAGATGATCAGATAAGCTTAATTTCTTAGCGATGAAAACTGCCCAGAAGTTGTTCAGCATAATATGTTATTATTATAGTAAACAGGTTAATTGGGAACGATTTCAGGTTCATTATTGACGAGATGTGGATCGTCGATTTCAAAAAATAAAATTGACTGACAAAATCACTAACAAAGGAAAGCACTGGACATAGATATGGGAACACGGGACCAAAACAGAAACAACTACTGGCATCCCACTTTGGTCGAAACCTTTCAACTATTTCTTTATAGGAACAATTCAGAAGCAATCATATCAGGTGACGGTGCAATGATATTCTTTCAAATGAGAAAAGTATACTAAAAGAGAGTCTGTTGGGATCCAGAAGGGCTCCCACAGTGTACAATTATGTAAATACACGTCCTTGTGACTCTAATAGTAAAGGCCTTCACCCTTACTAGAATTCATTTTTTCTAACCAGAATTCAACAAGCACGTCAAAGGGAGTGTAGCTTGGCAAAAACTTGTTAACGCCATCTACGTCTTCTTATGGACAACTGCACGTAAACGAATGGGCTTGATTAACGGTCAGCACGCGCTATAGCGTTCGCGAAACAGACCGAAGTTCTCCTCACGCTTCGGTTTCACGTTTGTTGCACGCAGGTGAATACTGCGGTCGCGTCGTCCGTAATATATACCCGATTGGCCCCGAGTCAGGCCACGGAAAAGACACGTAGTCTCGTCAGGCTACACTCCCTTTAAGCTCACTTAATCGATGGAGACCCCTCTTCTAAAATACCTCCACTAGATACCCAACGAATGGTCCTTCACCTATAGGCGTGCGCGTGAATACTCCTCTGGCCATTTCAATTAGCTGTCCCATCAATTGAAATGGAAGTTAATTATCAGTTCGCTATCGATTGAATTCCAGGGCAGGTGCTGGTGCGTAATACGTGTTTTCCCCAAGAGTCTTGTCCTTTTAATTATGTCATTCAGTTACGGGCATTCAAAGAAAGGGTTTCAAAACATATGTTGAAATGTAAGAAGATAGAATTCTATTTGAACCGAAGACGTGTTCCCGGTAAAAGCATTTATATTTTTCTTTTATCATGTAAGTTGACTAATTAAAAAAAAATGCATCAACCTTTCATTAGAGTCTCTTCCTCTTTCCATCCCATTTTTTAACGTTACTTCCTTGTATATGTTGTCTTATTTTTTACCGCATTCTGTCTATCTCTTTATTTCTCCTCTCTTTTCCTCATGATCTTTTCAATATCACTTTCTCGGCTTTTCCCAATTCATATGTGGGTGCCGACTATTTACGTCATTGGTTGTTCATGGGAAATCCAGTATGAAACGATGCCATTTAACTTACCTCTATCTTTAGCATCCATTTAAAACTCACATGAAATATTAGAAATAACCTCGAAGCGCAACCATGCTGCATTTTAAATGGACAAAATATCATACCATGAGGCCTAGATGCATCTGATATCAAATTGGTTTCATAGAAGCACAAAAAGGAAAAATTGGCAATTTCCGATTAAAAATAAGAACTTTTTGAATTTTTGAATTTGCGATCAATCAAATACCAATTGCCAACTCTGTGACGTATCATGCGAGCTCCTTTCCCATTTGCTCTGTTATATCTATTCCATCATCATTAAAGCTAAAGGCCAGTTATGGTCATGCGATTGCATTGTGAAAGAAATCGATCAAAAAAGGTTGATCATCTAGCATAGATGTACTGCAAGGTTCTGGAATCATCAAAATGATAAGAAATTTGGCCAAGTCTTCATAAAGTTAGAAGCACTGTACACAGAAAGATGTATATGGGACTACACACACGTTGCGACACGTGCATTTCATATCTATCAACAGGCAAGAGATACACTAATTTACCAAATATATCAATTAGTAGGCGGTTTCCCGTCAATTTTTGTATCGTCATGTAATATTCAAGACATATTCTCTCACATAATTGGTAATAAGAGCTTCCATTTCATTTTTTGAAATTGGGGCGTTTCCAATACTGGTCTTTACCTTTAACGAAGAAAATGAAAGTGTATGATATTTTATGTACAGAACAAACAGAAAGGGGTCTCGCAAGATACGTCACAGAGTTGCCAATTTGTGTTTCACTGATGACAAATTTAAACATTCATAATTTCTTGTTCTTTATCGGAATTTGTGCAAAATTCCACTGACCGGCTTCTCTCACGTTTATGCTTCTATTAAAACCAGCTTACTATCAGGGTGGACTTCCCCTTTGAATATATAACACATTATACGATGGGCCTGCGTCTGCGTGCATATCTACCTTTTAGCTA